CCTAGGATCCTAGTTCCCCCAGCATTCACCAATAGCAACTTTGGCGGGAAATTCAAACCCTCCAACGGGACTGTGGGTGTGCTGGGTGGGTGTGTATATAGTTGGCCTTGCAGGGCCATTTTGCAGTTCCTGTGTGAAGTACAATAAATGCGTCTGAATGCACGCCGTGAACCCAGTACTTTACAGGAATGTCCATGGCAAACAACATATGGCATCTGCTTTGCATGCACTATTAATTAATTTATTTATTTGATTTATAAACCGCACTCTCTCAAAGGGCTCAGGGTGGTATACAACATTCAATAAATACACATATTGGTTAAAACAATAAAAACAATACAATACAGATCACAAGTAATTCAGAAGGCATTGGATATCAATTTATACCCTTACACCTAAAGGGGAGGGAGGGAGTAAAAGTAGGCCAGGCTTGATGATGAACCATTGTTCTCCCCAACCACAGCCCTGGTGGAACATCTCTGTCTTACAGGCCCTGTGGAACTGTACCAAGTCCCACAGGGCGTGGATGTCACTAGGCAGAGAGTTCCACCAGGCCATCGCCAGGGCCAAAAAGGCCCTGGCTCTGGTTGAGAACAGCCAGATAGTTCAATCCCTGTTATCACCAGTTAAAAGAATCAGGAAGCATATCAGTGCAAGGCCTCTAAACTGAGACTCTGGAGAGATACTTCCAGCCAGAGTATGTAATACTGACCTTCATAGACCAATGCTATAAAGAAGTGTCATATATTCATGTAGAAATAGGAGCTAAGATGTGTACTTCCATAATGGAACAAAGTTAGAGTCCAATGGCACCTTTAAGACCAACAAAGTGTTATTCAACGTGTGAATTTTCGTGTACATGCACACTTCATCACATGATAAAATGGAATTACATCTCATAGGGGTGGCTTGTTAAATTAGCATGCAAAATAGTGAAGATATTTTTTTAACAGATCAAAAGAATGACAAGCTTGCTTTCTGGGTATCGTCTATTTGGGTACAACTTAGGGGGGACAAGATAGGTAATAAATATGTCATAGGTCAGAACTGGAAATTGATGTGTCCTAAATTGTGAGAATCCTACCCTCCTTTGTAGTATGGAGGTGAACTTTACAGCACCTTGGCTGTGTAGAGCATAGACACCACCTTATAACACAGAGGCAGACAAAAGAGGACGAAAGAGAAGAGGGAAGGAAGAAGGAGGATATAGGGGGAAGTAAAACTGACATTGGGGTAAAATTGAGGAATAGTAATAATATTAATAATATTTTAAAAACCCACATAAACAAAGAGGTACAGAGATAGAAGCTTAACCTGTTTGGTGGATTTTTAGACCTAATTTTGGGTATACGATATCTGCTTATAGTTGTGGGGAATACAAAACAAAACTTGTTTGAGACGTATTAAACATGTGGTTGAGGGAGACTGGCAAGGCAAGACTGTAAAGCATATTAGAGGGTGTTATATGTTACTTAATGGTTACCATTTTTATAATATTTTGTTAGGAAAAGGCTAAATAATTGAATGTAGAAGAACAGAATAGAAAACTAATAAATTGTGAATAGAAAAAGAAACAGAAATTTAATAAGACAGCGGTGGCCAGTGGAACTAGAAAGCAATTTGTTTCCTCACCAGGACAAACAAAAGCAGTTACACTAAGCCTAGCACAGATGAATTCAAAGGATCTACATACTTTAATACAGGAGAGGGTAACACAAGCTGTGAATTCTGTAACACAAAATACTTTACCATCTTTGGTGGTGTCACGCCGGGGGTCCTCCCCTGAGGGGAGGGGTGCCTCAGCCGTGTCGACTTACGTCCCGCAGGGGAAGCCAGAGCCTCAGAATTGAAGTGGAGAGAGTTGCGTCACTCTCAATAGTACTTCTCGGGGTTGACAGCTCTCTCGGGTTTTCGCTCTCTCTCTATTCCTAGGCTCGTCACCTCCGGCTTCCTCCCCGGCTCTTTCGGCTTCCCGTTATTTATAACCCCCCACCCGGGGAGACTCCTCCCTTTCCCTCTGTCGTCCTCTGATAGGGCAATATCTCTATCACTCCATCTGGTCCCACCTCCCAGGTGGGGTTGCCTCGGCATTCACAGGGGTGGGGCCACTTCCGGGAAATCCCGGAGGTCCATGAGTGCATTGCCTCTCGACTGAAGGACCGCATGGGTCCCTCTTCGCTTGGGTAAGTCCCAGCTCCCCCGTCTCTCCTGCACTCGCACCCACCCTCCTGTCTTCAGAACCGTCGGGAAGCGCTCTCCTTCCTCCGATCCCGCCGCTGGTTCCACCTCCCCAGAACGGCTCTCCATGCCCCTCGGCCCGGGAAGGCTCTGGCGTGGGTCGCGCCAGTCCCGACGCACCGGCCCCAGGGGCCGCGACATAGCCCGCAGCGGGACAGGTGGCTAAAGCAATAGAGCCGCTGCAAATGCAGTTAGATGTACTTGCACAGCAAGTATCTACACAAACAGAAGAATTTAAAAAGCAAATACTAGAAAATTAAGCAAACATATCCAAACTGGAGATATCATTAAAAAAATAGTGACTAAAATTGAAGATGTAGACCAACAAGTAATAGAACTAAAAACAAAACTTTATTCCATGGAAGAAACATTGATAAACTTGGAACTGGAGAAAGCTGCCCATATTTTAAGATTTCAAAATGTTCCTGTAAAGAAGGATGAGAATACAAAAGAAACTACGGTCCAAGCTTTAGTAGAATATATAGGAGATGAAATGGTGAAGGAAATATCTGAGAATTTGGATGTTGTATATAGAAGAAACTCTGCATATGCCAAAAGATACAAAATGCCGAGAGAAGTACATGTCAGATTTAATAAAAGAATGATGAGAGATAAGGTGCTGAAAATATCAAAAGAAATACCACTTTGTATCCAAGAATCAGAAATCTGAATACTAAAAGACGTACCCTGGCGGGTAAGAGAAAAGAAACAAGATTATACAACTCTGGCAACTTTACCGAGCGATAATGAAATACAATAGAGATGGCTGCTTCCAGAAGGGATGGTTTTTGTGTACAAAGGTAAGAGACAAAAGATAAACTCGATATTTAAAGTGGAAGACTTCCTTGACAAAAATGGGAAAGACCTTGGAATGCAGGAAGACAATCTGAGTGAAACAGACAGAGAAGAACAAGGGCAAGCAGAAACAGATAAAGCTGAGAAAAAAGGAAGGAGAACAAAAAATACCACATCACATTCTAACAAGATCCCAACAGAAAAACCAAGAAAAGGAAGCAAAAAACAAGGATGGATAAGAAAAAAATAAAAATATTATCTACAAACATTAATGTAGTAAATGCACCACAAAAGAAGAAGAATCTTTCAGCAAATTAAGAAACACCAGATGGATATCATATGTCTTCAGGAAACGCATATTAAAAAAGATAACAAAAATTTATTAGAATGTAAGAAAATTGGGGAATGCTTTGCCTCAGCAGTTGCTCAAAAAAGAAAAAAAGGAGTGGACATTTATGCTAAAAGGTTTCTTCAACCTGAATTGGTGTTTGAATTGGACGATGGCAGAATTGTGATGATTAGAATTCAAAGACAAACTAAATCAACATTAATAGTAAATATCTATGCCCCAAATCAGACACAAGAAAAAATTTATGATTCTTTAAGAGAAATCATATCAATACAGACCTTTGATGATATTTGTATAATATCTCCACAATAAGTAGGACGTCACAACTGGTTATTTGTTTATATTCATCCTTGGTTATAAAGCCTTCCTTCCATTTACTAAATGAGTCTTTTTTATTTCTCAGTTCTTTAGAAAGCTGTTTATGGAGCCACCTTGGCTTCTTTAGGCTCCTCCCATTTTTCCTTCTCATAGAAATCATTTGTGATTGTGGCTTCAATATTTCACTTTTAAGGAACTCCCACTCCTCTTGAACTCCCTTCTTAAATATTTCTGACCATGGGATTCTACCCAGCATAACCTTAAGTTTCTCAAAATTTGCTCTCCTGAAGTCCAACCTGTATGTCTGACTACGTACAGCTTTTCCCTTCCCCAAGACTGTAAATTCCAAAATTACATGGTCACTACTATCCAGAGTGCCCACTACTTTCACCTCATCAACCCGTTCTTCCCTGTTGGTGAGAATCAAGTCCAAGATAGCAGATCCCCTGGTTTCCTTCTCCACTTTCTGGAAAATGAAGTTATCAGCAAGACAAGTGTGGAATTTATTGGACCTTTCATTTTGAGCACAGTTGGACTTCCAACTCTCAGCTCAAAGTATCTTCTCTGTTTTGAAAGGTGGGGACATCTCTGCATCCTCAGTGTTTAACTCCATCTGCACAAGGGTAATAGGGTATGACTGGCTTTCATCCTATGGAGTAATCACCACACCCATTAAAAATTCATGCAGCCAGAGGTTGTTTATTTTTTTAACAAGCCTGCTTTCGCCAATGCCTATACATCTGCAAGCTCCAGTAGAAGTGGTGTCTATTCACATACAATCTAGAATCAACGGTCTCATTCATGTATTCAGATGCAGCTCCATATAAATCTGTGAAGACCAGAACTGTCAACTCTAAGTTTCAACAGGGCCTTCAAAAGCTTCTCTTTAGGGCTTCTGAGGTGGAGATATTTAGCAGTCTTTCTGAGGAGACAGGTGAATTAATCCAGGACCTTGCTGATGTATGCATTTAGCATCTTGGTCTATGCTTGGGAGAATGACTATGATGTCAGGGCTGCCTAGAAGAGTAATTCTCAAGTGACAGGATGCAGAAGTAGTCTAGGCAGGACATAGGGGTGTCAAAGCAATGACTAAGAATTCGCTTTCCCTCAACCCCCAAGTCTGCCAGCAGGTGCAACACGCTATCGCCTCCTGACCCTACCATCCACAGATTATCCATCTGTAACTTTTAGCACACTAACAGTAACCTTGGGCACTAGGGCCTTCTCCTAATCCTCCATTTCCCCTGTCCACCAGAAAGTATCTTTGATGTACCACTTCTTGCGATTCATGAGCTAGGCTCCTAGCTAACTGCACTGGTTCTGCTGTATGAACCAAGGCCAGATGCCTGTTTCTGAAAAGACTGAGCAAGAGTTCTCCTTACCTCACAGCCTCCTGCCTGGACCCAGCCACATTACAGACAAGGAGAAGGATTCTGTCTCCTCTACCATGGTGTAAAAACTCTGATGAAATGGCCCCATTATGAGCCAACTGCTGGCCTTCTGGCTCAGAAGCGTTGGGAGAAGATGGGAGGCTGTGGCGACAATCTGGAAAAAAGGAGACAACAACAGAAGTGAGTGAATCCCCAGGTGAAGTCTCCTCCATTGTTTAAAAAATTATATGGGGGATACTTAAATCCCCCAAAACTAAAACTGTTTGCTCTAGGCATGCACCGAGAACTCACTCACTGAGATGCTGGAACAGTCACTGCACCTACGAGGGAAGCTAACACACCACTAACCTTCCCCGCTGCTGCTCCAACTGCCATGGCAACAACCGTCCCCGCCAAAACTGGCACCACAGGACAAACCCGCTGCAACACCCAGGGAAAATGCCACAGCAATAATAGTTCCTGCCACTGCTAGGCCTGCCGTGGCAAGAACCGTCCATGCCGCCATTGGGACCATTGGAAACAGACGCCCGCAAATTGCTGTCCACACCGCCACTTACACTGCTGCCACAAGAACCGTCCCCCAACAGCCAGGACCGCCACCAAAGCAGAGGAGGGTAGGACTACGGCTTCCCAAGCCACCACTGGGGGTGCCACAAACACCAAGGGAGGAAAGGGGGGGGAGACAGAGAGAAAGATAAAAAAGGACAAATTGGCTTGGGGGAGTGAGAAAAATGGGGGGATTGACTTCAGAGATTAAAAAAAACAGGGGGAATTGGCATGGGAAGACAGACAAGATAAGAAGGGGGGGGAGTCAGTGGATCTGGTAGCTGCAGGGGAGCCTGGGGAGAAAGTGTGTGGGGGGGATGAGATTCCCCCCATGAGTATCGTGGGTGGCCCCCACTTGTACATCTATATAAGGGCTCTCATATACACACACCCCTCATGCTTCTGCCATAGTGCTATCCCATGTAGATGTGGTATGTGTGTGAATATTACAATCACATGGGTGGGGTTCACTTGGAGGACCTTCCCACCCAATCAATATCCTACTAGGAGGGAGGATGCTGCTTCGGAAAAGACCCACGAGATTGTCCTGCCCACATGGTATTCACACACATACGTAATCTACATGGGAAAGTGGTTACCAAATGTGTTTCTGTGCACATGAGAAGGGAAACACAGTGAAATGACGGCTGCAACAATTCACTTCTTGAGAATCTGTTTTTGTTTAATGGCCGCATAAGATTGCCAGTGGCCAAGGGGTGGGGCTTTAGTGCACTGCATAGACTCTTCCCCCAACACAGTAACTTACTTAATACAGTCAATACTGTACAATAATGCATATGAAAATATGCAAATAAGCTGAATTTGCAAAATATATACAGATTGCAGAATTCAGCTTTTTCTCAGCAGTGAATTTGGTTTACCTTGGCAAAAGTTTTTTTTTTTTTTAATACTAATAATAATACACACAGAACAACAAACCTAGATTTAGACAAAACACTGAACGGGAGAAAAAAATGCTTTGTAACTGTCATGGACATTCTCCGACACTTTTCATGAAACAGCCAGATACAGTATAGTGGGAAAGTCACAGATATCCTACCCAGGGAACAGAGCTTTGACTAAACGGTCCAAATCAACCCCTTCCAGCTCTGTGATTCTGCAGGATATAATGAACACTAACACTCCACCAAACCACCTAAGGAACCTCCCCAAGGCTGGCTACTCACTATCACTAGCCGAGGGCTCTCAGGCATAACCAGACTAATCTGCACCACCACCCCCATTTGTAGCTCGATCTTTCCACTTCCCCAGATTCTGGGCTGCAGAATTCACCAAAGCCACCTGGCACTGGGGATGTCCAAAAGGCAAAATCTCCATGAACTCCATCTCCCGGATCTGCACATGCTGTCTCCTCCAATGTTTTTCAATTAAGGCCTCTTGCTTAGCCTGGAGAGGCAATAAACCACTGCCGCAGCACTTCAGCTCCAATCTTACTCCTCACTTTGCACACACAAGCTAATTGTTCCCAAAATACAGCCATCTGGACAGACTCCCTGCCAGCTCCAAGGCTCAGCTCTCCTCGTCCTCCTCTTGCCTGCTCCGCTGTGAACCTGGTTTCACCTCCAAGCTGCCTATTAAGGTTCTGAGGCCTCAGTTATGCAGAATCCAGACACAGGCATCTATCACAGAATTTGGTGATGCAGACCAATATGGGGAATAATAATCCCTAACGGGCATTTACAGCCAGTTCAGACAGTTAGCAGAATCAAGTGGCAAAGTTTCTGCTGGACGGCAGCACTTTGCACTGCAAGTGGGAGGTTGCCTGTTTGAGCACTCACTCGTCAAGGACGAGGCTGAAGTTGGTTCCTTATTCCCAGATCATCAAGGGGGGAAACAGCTTCTTATGCACAGAAAAATAGTTTGCCAGGGTCAACTGAACTGGTATAGTCCATAAAAAATCTTTCTCATTTGATTTCTACTGATTGTGTAAAGTGGTCCTTAGCCCAACGACCTGCATTGTGTCCCTTCCTAACTGAGCCTTGGGGGTTAAGCCACAGCAGTACAGAATGAGAATAAAGAAGGCACTGTAATCAAGTGGGCTCCTGTAAAGCAAAGAATACTCAGGCACACAGAGAAGGTTCAATCAAATGCACATCAAAACACAAATAATGGCCAGCAGATAGGCACCGGCAGGAGTGGACAGAAAGCAAAAATTCACTTCAAGCCTTTTCTCAGCTGATCATGCTGCTTTCCAAATGGAACAAATTTGGTGCATAATGGTGAGGTAGGTGATCTAGGAGAATAGCAATATGCATGCTGCTGGTTTAAATCTCTTAGAAGAACCCTCACAGACATGCATCTATGGGACATATTTTCTATCAGAGATTATTGGAATTCAACAAGATTATTGTTACAGCCTGATTTTAACTGTCCCCCTCCCAATTCCAAAGTGGCTTAGAATCAACAAATGAGATAAAATCACAAGAAACAAATTTATGCAGTTCCGCAGGGCCTGCAAGACGGAGCTCTTCCGCCAGGCTTTTGAGTAGGAGCCGCCCCCCCACTATACCATCACCGTCATGGGCTCCTGAAGGACACATTGACGAGGCCCTGAGGAAGAACCTGACAATTGCAAAGAAGATCTTATAAGCTGTCGCCATTGGGCACAAACATCATGGAAAGTATCACCTGGAACTGTGTGGATTCCATCTTGGACTCATGACATTAGTATTGATTGAGCACCGTTGTTTTTAAGTACCGGATGTTTTATAATGTATTTTATGTCTTAAGCTTACTATGTATTATACGTTTTTACTATGACATGGTTAATTACCTTGCCCGTGTTAGCCGCCCTGAGCCCATTGGGGAGGGCGGGATACAAATGTGAATAAATAAATAAATAAAGAAGAACCCTCAAAGGACAGCCAGTAGAGAGAAGACATAATACATCAAGCTATTGGAAGACAAAAAGCAGGACAGAAATCAATTAGCTCAAATTAAGGCTGCAAAGGGGAATTTCAGACAGCCCATATATTCCGGTACAGGAACGGTTCTCTAACGGTTTCTGTTCTGACATTTCAGACAGAACTGTTTTAGTAACAGTTCCCTACAGGAATATATTTTCACTTTCAGACAGAAACGCTTCTGTCCCGTTCAGGAAACGTGGTTGAAGCGTTTTACCTGTAAAATGATTCGAAGCGGTCTTCAGTTTCTTGTACCGTTTCTGAAGCGCAATTTCCTGCCCTTTTTCACCCACACGGGTGATCTCTGTCTTTTTTAAAAAAACATTCGTTTTAGAGCGCTATAGCGCTATAATGCAACAGCAAAACAGCACTATAGCAACCCCATTGGAATGCCTGGACTCCACTGGGATATATGAGATGGCTACATTTGCCACTTGGAAACAAGTACCCCATTGGATACAGCCTTCAAGCGGGAGACGGCATTGGTTGCCCTGACTGACGACCTCCGAAGGCACCTGGATCGAGGTGGTGTGGCAGCACTGTTGTTGCTCGATCTGTCCGCCGCATTTGATACAGTCGACCACCAGTTGCTGGCCCACCACCTCGCCGACACAGGGATTCAGGGGCTGGCCCTTCAATGGTTTGCCTTTTTTCTCCAAGGTTGAGGACAAAGGGTGGTGATAGGGGAGCAGCGGTCCCGAAGGCACCCTCTTGATTGTGGGGTGCCTCAGGGGGCAGTGCTGTCCCCAATGTTGTTTAACATATACATGCACCCCCTTGCCCAGATAGCCCGGAGGTATGGGCTTGGGTGTCATCAATATGCAGATGACGCCCATCTCTATCTGATGCTGGGCGGCCGGCCGGACTCCGACCTAGATGACCTTTAATGGGCGCTGCAAGCCGTGGCTGGTTGGCTCAGACTGAGTTGGCTGAAACTAAACCCGGTGAAGACGGAGGTCCTGGGCCTAGGCTGGGTCGGTTCAGGGTT